CCAGGGCACCTCTAGTTCACAACGGTACTACCAGGTCTCCAGGACTCCACAGCTTGCCAGGGTATCTCTAGTTCACCATGGTACTACCAGTTCTCCAAGATACCCCCAGTTCACCAGGCCTCCACCAGTTCGTCAAGCAGCAGCAGCCCCTGGGACTTGTGTGAGATGCGCCACTCCCTCCTTCGGTACCAAGTCTCTTCAGCTGACAAAGGAATACAGATGGGTGTGTCAGCACCAACTGAAAAGGTTATGAACTACAGCAAAATTACAAACTCACAATTTAAAGTAGTAAAAACAAAACATGGAGTCAGAATGCCAAACTGAAATTAAACCGAGACAGTAAAGGAAAATGAAATGTTGATTCACTTTAAAATGAATTTATCATCTCAGACGATAGACAAAGACGATGAGACAAAGAACACATTCCTCAATCGCTTTTTTATATTTCTCATTGCATTTGCCAGCTCATTCACAAAAAACACGGAGAAGCAATCATTTATACATCCAGTATCAAAAAAGCACTTATTCCTGATGAGGTTTGTAGACAACAAACTACAATTTAGTCAAAATAAGAAACCACAGCTTATAAAACTTTGTTTGGGCTCACCAGTGTGGTACACTATAACATATACTGTACATACTGTACTGTACTGTACATGTGTGTCACCATTGCTACTACAACCCCAAGACCCAGCCCCAGACATGGAACATTTTCACTCCCTGGTATTTACTTAACATGAGTTAAGTGCTTTACCATCAACCTTATCGTTCCTATGGCACTTTAGCCTGACATTTGGAATTTTATGTAACGTATATTGTCTGATACAGCCCTGGATTAAATAATGGAATCTACTGATATGGTGCTGTACAAGGTGGTGCAGGGAACAAGGGAATATAATCATAAAGAACCACTAATCGAGTGCTTATACAAGAAATAGTTTCCACTGTTGGTGGCACTTTATTATATACAGTGCCTTCAGAACGTATTCAGACCCCTCCACTTTTTCCACACTTTGTTGTGTTTTAGACTTATTTCAAAATGGATTGAATTGATTCTTTTTTGCCATCAATCGACACCCAATACCCCATAATGACAAAGTGAAAACAAGTTTTTAGAATTTTTTGCAAATTTATTAAAAATAAAAAACTGAAATCTCCCATTTACAAAAGTATTCAGACCCTTTATTATGACACTCCAAATTGACCTCAGATGCATCCTATTTCTTTTGATCCTCTTTGAGATGTCTTTAGAACGTGATCCACCTGTGGCAAATTCACTTGATTGGAAATGATTAAGAAAGGCACACACCTGTCTTTATAAGGTCATACAGTTCACAGTGCATGGCAGAGTAAAAACCAAGGCATGAAGTCCAAGGAACTGTCCGTAGACCTCCGAGATAAAAACTGGCAATGGCTTGAAGGTTCCCAGGAGCACAGTGGCCTCCATAATTGTCAAATGGAAGAAGTTTGGAACCACCAAGACTCTTCCTAGAGCTGGCCGTCCAGCCAAATTGGGTATCTGGGCAAGAAGGGACTTGGTCAGGGAGGTGACCAAGAACCCAATGGCCACTCTAACAGAGCTTCAGAGTTCCTGTGTAAAGATTGGAGAACCTGCCGGAAGGACAACCATCTCTGCAGCACTCCATCAATCAGGTCTCAATCGTAGAGTGGCTAGACCGAAGCCACTCCTGAGTAAAAGGCATATGACAGCCCACCTGGAGTTGGCCAAACGGCACTTAAAGGACTCTGGGTGCATGAGGAAAAAGATTCTCTGGTCTGATGAGACAACAATTGAACTCCATGTGTAGCGAAAACCAGGTACCGCTCATCACCTGGCTAGTACCATCCCTACGGTGAAGCCTGGTAGAGGCAGAATACTTTCTGAAGGCACTGTAAGTGTCATTGTTATAGTATGATAAAAAACAGTAAATACAAAATGGGAAAAGCATTGCTGGAAAAGGCAAGTTATGAATAACACTCGGGTGTTTATGTTAAAAGAAACCATTTAAGATAGGTCTTGTACACTGTATCTTTTAGACATCTTCTAATGGCTTATTGTGAGGAAGCAATTGCAAAAGCAAAGAAAAAATCCTTGGGAGACACAGTTAAAATGAAGAATATAAATCAATTGATTCTATGTTAAAAAGCAATATTTAGAATATTGTGTATAATTGTGGTCACCACATTATTGGAAAGATATTGCATCCACCGCTGATGTCCAGCCCCTGCCTAGGCAGTGTGTGACTGCCTTTATGTGTCAGCAACCCCACTGGAAAGCACATCAGGTAGAACCTTTCCACAGATTCTCAATAGGATTCAAAGCTGTGACTGGGCCACTTGAAGACATTGACTCATTCTTAAGCCACTCCAGTGAAGCTTTGACCTTGTCCTGTTGAAACATGACTTTTCACACTTGTTTTAATCTTTAGCCGATTAAAGATTTCCTCTAGTGTTTGCTTGCACTTTGCTCTGTCCATATTACCTTCCGTCCAAACAAGCTTTCCAGTAGCACGATGCCGTAGAGCGCCGCTGATGTAGATGATAAGCCAGCGATGGGATTTTGTGAAATAAACCCAAGAGCAGGAAGGTAACACGGCCAAGAAGGCAAGCAGCTGGGTGAGCACCAAGCAAGCAGAAGAGACAGGCTGGGGCAGTGAAGCACAGGCAAGCATGGCCTGGGCAAGCATAGTCCAGAGCCTTAAAAAGACACAAGCAAAGTTCAAAACCAAGACAGGTCAGGGTGAAGCAGAGCCCAGAGTCCAGGCAGCATACAAAGGGAACTCAGAAACTTGTGGTGAAGCTAGAGACATAGCGAACCCTAAGACAGAGCACCAGAGCACTGCCAAGTCAAATCTTATTTCCTGTGGTCTTGAACCACCTGAGGCGGGCGTAGTGGATAAATGCCTTCAGGTGGTAAAAGGCTGTTGAATGAATTACTACAGTAACCGGTGCTGAATGACAGGAGGCCAGCTAACATCTCGCCCCACCCAATCTTCCACAAGGACGAGTATAACAGATGCTGCCATTGCCACTCTTGACTGTCAGCATAGTGTTAACTGTGATAAACGCTGTTAGGTCTGTGTCAAATGGCATTTACATTAAAAAACTCTAATATGGTCTCATCTGATCACAAAGCCTTTGTCCACTGAAGTGCTTTGTTGTAAACTCCATGAGGGATAATGGTATAAACCCAACTGGCTTTGCCAGCTTCTTCATCTTCATGGTTGGGTTTTGTTTGAAATTCCTGACCGAGGAACCTCACAAAGATAGGTGTTTTGTGTTTTATTCTGAAATCGTGAGAACCACTCTTATTGCCCAAAGACACAGGCTACTCAACTGATTGTTTAGCAAGTTAAGGTAATTTTGTGTGCCTAAAATAATTTAGGTTTGACACAGCAAAGGGTTTGAATACTTCTGTATAATCATCATGATGATTATTTCCTAACTGCTTACTCCTGGTGAGAGTCACGATAGTAACAGGCTAAGCAGAGCAGGCCAGACTTCCCTTCCCCAGCAACAGTCTCCAGCTCTTCCCGGGGAACTCCAAGGTGCTCTCAGGGCAGCAGAGAGATATAATCCCTCCAGTGTGTCCTGGGTCTGCCCAGGGTCTCTTCCCAGTGGGTCGTGCCTTACGAAACACCCAAACCACACCAACTGGCTCCTCTCGATCCAGAGGAGCAAAGACTCTACTCCAGGGTCATCCCAGAAGGCCAAGCACCGCACCCTACCATGTAAAATAAGCCCAGGAGCCCTATGAGGAGCTGAGGAGAAACCTCACTTCTGCTGCCTATACCTGTGATCTCAGTTTGTCAGTCACTACCCAGATCTCGTGACCACAGGTAAGGATATGGGTGTAGATCGACTCAAAACCAAGAGCTTTGTCTGAAACCTCAGCTCCTGCTTCACACCTACGGCTGGATACAGCATCTACATTAATACACTGCTGCACCAATCCGCTGGTCAAACTCACCATTCCCTCTACCTTCAGTCCTGAACTAGACCCAGAAGTACTTAAACTCCTCCACTCCCCCCTAACCTGGAGAGAGCAATCCACTCTTTTCTGGGAGAAAGATATGATTTTTCATTCAAATTATCTGTCTGCTTCTTTTTGCTTTAAATGTGTGGAGTAGGTTGTGTATGTAACAAACATGAATTGCTTCTTCATAATGTGATAAATGTTCACTGGTCTGCGTAGTTAGCACTCGTTATTATTAATAATGCAAAGGAATGCCGTCGGCCGAAACGTTGTGTTTTCTTTCTTCTCTTTTCAGCATGGAATAAACCTATTACTTGTTCCTTTGCAGCCTACGCATCCTGACGCAGCTACCCACCTGAATTATTATTAATAATACCTAGCTCACAGCTAGTTGCAGTACTTCAGATTCACCACATGAGGGAGGTGTAACCATTCTACAGTCACGAAAGGCCTCTGCAGCGCGCAAGAACCCAGGCGAACTGATTGAAGGCGGCGTCGAATAAATTTCACTGGACACATTGCCCGAATGTCCTTTTTTTCAGATCATGCTTTTAAACATAGAGCTTAGTAAGTAAGAAGGCTGTTGTATAATTGTATTTTGGAATGCATAACAGAAGCCTGACCAATGCACATCACTGTATTTATAAATTATAGCGCTGAGAGCTGCTATTAATAGCATGCATCCCTAAGGAAAAAAGCCTGAGATGAGAAAGACGAAATTAGTTTTGATTTATCCCCTCCTGTAGCTACTGAACATCACATTCCCTGGTATGGGCAAATAATTTATCAGAGCTGCAGGATTTCAATACGCAGTGGTGCCGACTTTTCAACTTTGTGTCATTTTGCTTAACCTAGCCCCTCAAGGACATCGATCTGAGATCTGTCACATCATCTTTCTGCTGCAAGAAAGGCAGTAACGATTTCCCGAGTGTGTTTGCCAAGCCTGCTTTCTTTCAGCGCTGAAATGAGCACAAGCACCCAAGAATGTCCCTTTGAGGTAGACTGTGTTTTCAGGGATACTGTATAAAGCAAGCCAGTGGTCTCCGAGAGGTTTAAATTTGTTTGGCCATTGAAAAATATTCAGTGTTTTGTTAGATTTTTTCTTCTTTCTCCTATTTTCTGCATTTTCTCCCTGATTGTGGATGAACATGTTTTTTGTTAAGATCTTGGAAGAGGGCTAGCGGGGCTGTGATTTTGGAATTTCTCAAAATTTCCAGATGCTGCCCAGTCCTGGCTCTCTCTCACTCACTCACACTCACTCACACACTCACACACACACTCACTGGAGCAGCTGAGTGTACCATGGATTCTTCTTCCTCACTAGCTCCCTGCTGACACGCTGTCAATGTGAATTACTACACCACTTGTCCACGCTTCCTTCTGGTCCTCCAGGGTGTCCCTTAGTCCTTTAATTTGGCCATCAGAAACTGTCAGGGCACAGTCATTCCCAAGCAGCAACTCTGGTCCAGCCATGACCTCATCTGTCCTCTCCACTGACCCTTACTCTAACCCCACCCTAACCTCTCTAATGCAAGCTCTAGCCCGAATCATGCCGACTTTAATCTAAACACTATTCCTCATCCCAAGGCTAAACCTGGCTCCTGATTCCCTGTGTCTTCCCTGTATCTGTGTTCCCTGGAAGGGATTGATCAGCTACTCTACACTCCCCCCCAGGGTTTGAATCTGTTCCCCCCTTTGCTGGCCATCCCACATGCTCTGTCGTCTCCTGGTCAACGTACTGTATGCAAGAAGAGGAAGAACATGAACCCACCTGCTCACCTTAATTCTAATCCTCCTAACCCCTTCCCTGCTTTTAACAACCTTAACCCTACCTCAAGATACTCACCCTTAAATGTAATCCTCCTCACCCTAACCTTAACCCAGCTACTCACCCTTAATTCTATCCTCCTCACCCTCACCTTAAACCAGCTACTCACCTTAATTCTATCCTCCTCACCCTCACCCTAAACCAGCTACTCACCCTTAATTTTAATCCTCCTAATCCTCACTTTAACCCAGCTGGTTACCCTTAATTCTAATCCTCCTAACCCTCTACCTGCCTTTATCACCAGGCTTACCCCAAGGCTAATGTGATGACTACTCCTCTCCCTGCTCCCGCTGTCAATCCAGTGCTCCTAGTGAGCACAGCTCCCCTCCCTGGGCCGCAGCTAACTCCACTGCTACAGCAGAGCCTTACACTGGCTAGACGTCAGAGGGGGTGACGTCACTTCTGTCCCTGGCTCAAGCACGAGCCCTGCCCTACTTTTAACCCACCCATCACCCTAGTGCCTCCAGAATCTGGCAGTCCTGGTCCCGGAGGACCTAACAGCTGGGAGAAGCCGCGAAATTAGTCTAGTTAAGAGCCGATTAAGGCCCTTAAAGGCTGAGTTGGAATAAAAACCCACTGGGATTACCCAGTCCTGTCATAACCAGAACCCTAGCTCTGACACCCAGCCACCTGTAATCCTGTAATCTCTAGAAGAGTCGGACAGGAATGGATCTGGACTGCAACTGGACCAAGATGTGGAACACTGGCATCATGTCAGCTTCAACAAACCTGCACTAAGTCACTGCCTACCAAATAAATTTGCACAATACGTTTCAGCAGGGGGCCCCATATAGTGGGATAAGCACAGTACAGTACTGTACTATGTTTTCCTGTAGTACTGACTTGTGTCTGTTGCTTGCTAGGATAGGCTCTGGATACCTTGCTACCCTGAATTAGAAGAATAAATAATAAATAATAACTCCTTACACTTATACTGCACTTTTCTGGACACTCCACTTAAAGCGCTTCACAGGTAATAGGGACTACCCTCCATCACCTCTATGTATAGCCCCCACCTGGATGATGCAACGGCAGCCAAAGAGCACCAGTACGCTCACCACACATCAGGGCGGTTAAAAAATTGATGGAAGGGCTGTATTTCCATGCTTAAGGTTAAATAGCAGGTCTGAGAAACTCAGACAGTAAAAACACACAAGAGGATTTGGAAAATTACTCACACGTTGCCTTATTACGTATGTAAACAGAAAACGAGAAATGTATTTAGTAATTAGCAATTGTTTCTAGAAATAACCACAATATATATGTTTGAAAGATTTAGCAACATTATCTTATATTTTTATTGCCATAGCTATGGATTCATTTAAAACGTTAAAAAAATCGTTTTAATGTTTCACCTCTCGTGTATCACATCCTCAACATCAAGAGTGATCATTTAAAGGCCTTACAAAAACATGTACATTGTAATGAGCTGTCTGACGGGCCACTAAGAGTAAAAAACGAAGAGCTTTAAATAGATAAATGCGTGAAACGTGGTAGTATTCTGTAGTAAAAGAAGTCCGGAACTAGCCGGGCATTTTACACAGTCAGTTCCGGAGAGCTGACAGGTGACCAGGTGACCACGCCGCACCCAGCCGCTTCAAACACAAAAGAGAAACAGCCCGCTTCATAGCTGGCCTCTACGGAAGCGCAGTGCTGCTATTAAGAAGAAAATATCTCATGTGATATCTCGTAATTACGAAAAAATACAAATAATCATTAGAGCTGTATGAACAACCTATTACATTGTGCAATTACAACACCTAGAAGCTACTGAGAGCTAAGATGGAAATTTGGGTTTAGTGACACGGACTGACTTTCGAGGGGGGGCGGATAATTCACAATGTGAACACAATCATAAGAACCCTGAGGACACTCACACTTATCCTACATACCAGAAAGAAGGTACCGGGAAATCGACTTCACTGCTGAAAACTGAAAGTAAACTCAGTCAAATGATCATGTTGGCATTATGACAATTATTGGTACTGTAACGCAACGGGGGCTCAGGCGGGCGCCCTTGCCGCATCTGGTCGGCCCCATCCCGACTGGAGGCTCGAACCCGGGACTTCCGCGTCTCTCTGCGACCTAGCCCCGTGAGCTAAAGAGAGATCGCTCTACAGCCCAGTAGCTGTAGTCCTGCTATCACAGTGAAGGGCGGTGACATCACCTGCTCTGGTATGCCGGCTCTTACACAGTGCCTGTCGGCCGTAAGCGTTACAGTACTATATGTGTTATCGCGTGATTATCACATAAAATACGCGATACTATAGTATATCGTAATAACAGAAAATTTACTCCTAATTACGAGATAGCAGGTGACATTTTTTCCTTGATGGCAGCAATGCGCTTCCGTATGAAAGTGACTGCTCTAGTTTTTAATATACATTTTCAATCACATTCATTTTGTGTATCATGTTTTCCCTTCACGCACTACTTTTAGATAAGACTTGCGTTTCAGCCGTACAGTATGTCCTCCTGATTAGACAACTGGGACCTTTGGATACTTTAAAAATCCCCGCCCTCAAGTCTTTTACGTCATGTCTGCTACTGCAGCAAATTTAGCTCACTGCTTCAGACAAGAGCTCTCAGATCAAGATCCCGTTTCGGGAACTTGGCATCTCTCAGGTGTAAATCCGTGCAGAGATGAGAGCAGTAGCACCGCGCACACCCACCGAATGCGAGATGTCACTCTTGACCAGCAGAGGTCGCTCTGGCTCAGCTATCTATTGTCACTCTCTCTCTCACGCACACTCTTATTGGAAAAAGCGATGTGTGCACTGAGCTGCACCGCTCAAACCCTCCCAGATCGTCAACAAAATAACCGGGTTACAAAGGAGAGAGAAAGGAAATACTGTTTCGCCCGCAGTGCTGCCTTTAAACCAAGATACGAGTTCGCGTCGTGCACGAAACACAGCATCGATAGAGCTGCAAGCACCCAGGTCCTGTTTCGGGGTTGATTTAGTTACACTTCAGGATTAAAAAACGCTCCGGACTCGAGAGAGAGAGGGGAGAGAAGTGTTGGAGAGAAAGAAACGGATATTGTCTTTGGGGAATCAAACGCCAGGTAAGAGAAAACCTTCTTTATTTTGATGTTGGAGTCTAGAAGATGCCTGAAAGCCGTAATGAAATGTACTGCGACGGCACAAGTGAATTTCCACACGAAAGAGTTAAGAGAGGGAGACATGGCAGTCAATTAAAAATATACTCTTTCCCCGCTGAGCCGGCTCCGAAACCCGAGTTTAATTTAAAGAGATATAGGGGCACAGACCGAGCACCTGCAGTCGAAAAATGGAGTAGGATCGATCATATAAATAAAAAGAGCCGCTTTCGCTGCCATTATAAAGTGTGTGTGTGCGGCACTGTTTAGGTCCCTATGCAAACCTGTGCATAAAAAACCCCGGTGATGTCGTCATGGTTCTGCAAGAAAGGCGCTGTTCCTTGTCGCCTACCTGCCGTAGGCGAGCTGCCGTTGTGAAGGAGCTGCGCCTCGCCCCGGCGTCTCCACGCCTCACACCCGCTGTTTTCTGAGTCCAGCACGGTTCATTTGTTGCACACGTTTATGTTGGTTGTTCACGGTTATTGTCGTTGTAATGTTGTCAACAAAGGGGGGCAAACGGTCAGTGGTGTGAAAAGGATGAGAAATCAAGGATAGCAGAGCAGGTGCTTCAATGGAGTCGCCACGGTCCATGTCCCCGCTGTCACGGTGCTCCCTGTGCGGGTAGCCTCTCAGTCTCGGGGCCCGGAGATGAACCGTGACGGTAACCCGGGAGCTACTGAAGGCTACTCTCCTCCGGCCATCTTCGCCACAGTTTTTGCTTTTTCTGACAACACTGCCATATCCCTCTGAGGTATTTCCTTTCCAGATACTGTCATTAATACTTGTAGTGCCCTTGCTCGCACTTTTTGTGCTGGATGAGTGGAGTTTGTGAACAAAAAAACGCTTAGCTTACTCTGTTTTTTTTGTATCTCGCATCAAAACAAAGCCGAATGACATACAGTATTCCCTCACCCCAAAGCGTGTTAACTGTGAAAATATCAAGATGTAGCTCGAATATATTGGTGCCAACTCTTCTGAGCCATCTACAAAACAGAAACGAAGCTTCTTTGTTGCGATTCCAGCGGTAAATTGTAGCTGTTTAAACTGAATCATATGATCCTCTGTACCAGTACAGTAAAGTTGCTTATTCAAGGAAAATAGCCCAGGATGCAGCGTGCAGTAATGATTAACGCAAAGCAGATTTACCGTGTGGGATTCCTTAATAGTTCGCAAAAAGGAAGATTTAAAAGCAGGATTTGTGAGGATCTGACAAAACAATGAACCAGATGTATGTCTGGATTAAATGAAGTCAGGTTTAAGGATTTACAAATGTATAGGGGTCGGCTGAATTCCTCGGTTTGTTTTGCCTGACCCGATGAAGGACAGTTTCACATCATGGGCTAGCTTTGTCTGCCGTGGAGAGAGTGCCTGGCTGTTGGCTGATTACTGTGGTTGCTAAGAGGCCTGTGCTATATTAAGACAACATTCAACGTTTGCAGCAGACCGGTTAAGAGTCTCCCTGAATGAAGTGTGGTGGTACAGTACGTTTAGTATAGTAGTAGTAACCCATCCAGTCAGCTACTGCATGGACATTTTTGCCTCAGCGCACAATGAGGAGAACAGGAGCTCACCTGTTGCAGTGCAGGTGTTACAGTGCCAGAAGGTGGAATTATGAATCACTTCATAATGAGTCACTTCTTCCCAGCACCTCTCCACCTCTGTCTGGGCCTGACAGCCCCGTTTCCCCCCACAAACTCCAGCGCAGCACTTCTTCCCCAGGCGGCGCAGCATAGTCTGTGCTCCTCCTGGATTCCTTGTGGCACGTGTACGCTTTCGAAAGGTTGCGCCGATCGCAGGACCCTCCCAGATGACAGTTTAGATCTCTTGCTCTCTGCCTCACCCCCTGCTGCTGCGGGGAAGGACTGAGATGAACTGGCCTGCGATCAAGGGCCTGGCATTCCAGACAGTTAAATAGCCAGGCCTCTAGACTTCTGGAAGATGGAGTATCCCAGATACAGATCCTGACTTTGAGCAAGGTAGTGTTGATGTCCTGCTTGCCCTGCGCGATCCGTGCCTCCAGTATAAGAAAGCCACTCGCCTCTGGACAGGGTCATGGCAGCCCTGGAGCCTCTCTCAGGAGCGCAGGTTACCAGAATGGACGCCAGACCTCCCTAGAGTGCACACGCACAGGGGGACAACAGTCTCCAACTAACCTGGTCAGCATGTCTTGTTGGAAAGTGTGTGGTGGCTGAGGCTCCTGGAGAATCTGAGGGCGCTGCAGTTGCGGATCAATCCCCGAACCAAGGCGCTGCATCACCCACACCACTGTGTCCTTGCCTGCTTCCTTCTGCTTTGCTTTTAATTAGTACGAGAGGTGAAAGGGTTAATTCCTCAAACACACTATCCCCTCCACTTATCACCCTGTCCTCTTCAGCCTGTGAGGCTGTAATCCATTGCTTGTTATGGACTACAGCAATCAGCCTTGTAGTAATAATAGTACAATTTAGCTTCCACTTTTTATAAGAGATTACAGTATATGCTTATCTTGCCTACAATAACTATAATTAGCCTAATCTTACGTGTACCAGCTGTGGTATCGATTTAAGGCATTAAAACAGTGTTAATTTCTTGCGGTTGAGAATCAACCCTCATTACGATCTGTGAGTTTGAGTGTAAAGCAGTAAAAAACAAGGTTGGAAAAAAAAAACAGCTCTGGAAATGTCTTCGAATGGGTGTGACATCTCTGACAGAATCTGAAAAACCCTTCTGGGCGTTTTGTCAGATTGCCAGAAACGTCACTGCTGCAGGTGGACCGTCTTCAAACAAGCGGTGTGGCTGAATAAGCAGGAAACTCATCTCGTCTCCCTGCTGCCCCACTCCCTACAGTAGTGTGGTGATTTCCTATACATCTCAAGCTTTGTAACGGTCCCGGCCAGGTGTCCAGTCTCAGCGTCAGTGCAGTGAACTCTGAGGTCTAGCTGGTCACGGACCCAAACTCAAAACGTGGCTTTTGATGTGCCTTGGCCACCCCCAGCCATGAACGCGAGCAGCAGCCGACACACTGGCTGACCGCGCTTGACTCTCAGTTGTTTGTTTAGTGTTATCATCCATGAAAAGCGAAAAACACCCCTCCCCCCCAATTGCAGCTAACCACGATTTGCTGTTCTGTGGTACAGTTTTCGTGACCTGCACTAGGAGTGTGGACCACAACCAGGTTCGTTAGAGGACTTTCTGACGATGCCGAAGGACAGAAGGGCTCGGCCTGCAGTGAAATGGCTTTCTTTTGAGGAATTACCCAAGAACAGGTCTTGCGAATAGTCTTTGAGACTCTTCTCAGCCCTGCGGCCTGGCTGACTCTGATTTGCTGTCTGCGTGCAGGCCTTCTGTTTGTGCCTGTGCGGCGAGGAGGTCTTCTCTTGGCTCCAATAATGGAATCTTCTGTCGAGTTGCCCCGAGCAGACAGCTCTCCCCTCACTGTGGCCTTCCCCCCTCAGCTCCCCCCACTCCCTGCCGGAGCTGCCCTGCTGCTCATTTGTGTCTGCTGGACCTTTCTGTAGCGCTGAGGCCCGAACTGGTGTTGTGCACAAGCTCTCCATGGCTGTCCGCAGGCTGCTGCTCTGGGGCTGAGCCGGTCCCAGCCAGGCAGGGATCCCTGTTGAGACTGGTGTTTGGTGATGCAAGCAATGGGTTGAGAGTGCTGAAGGTTTGTGAAGGCGTGTTTGTGGGAGTTGAGAATAATGAGATTTTGAAACCCCATGACTAGGTTTTAGGTCTAGCTAAAACAAAAAACTGTTTTCTTCTTTGTAAGATAAAAGATAAAAGGATTTTGAGCAATGATGTGAGCTTAGACAAAAAAAAATTGAGTGCGTCATAATTCATTCGTACAACCGAAAGTACACTTGAAGAAGTGAACAGCCAAGTTATATCCTAAGTTTAGAAATATGTGAAGTGCGCATCAGCATTTGTTGGAGTGTTTTTTCCGTTTCATTTTTTCTCTATTGCTTGGTCCTGTTGAAAATCATGAATATAAAACCTCCAGGCAGTGCAGGAGGTTAAATATAGTTCTTTTTTTTTTACTATTTGTGTAGTAAAAACAGCCTGTGAACACACTTTGGAATGCTGGTAGAGATTTGTGCTCAGGAGACTGAACCCAGTTCTCCCTAATGCAGAGCAGCAGATCGCAGACCAGCTTGTTTTCAATTCAAGACATCTCCTGCTGAAAAGAAGTGGTGTGGGGATGGACGCAGGCCTGCAGGCTATGGAATAGATTACGCAGGATTTGGGGAGAGGAAGTGTAGGGCAGCGAGTGTGACAGAATGTGCCAGTGTCACTCACTGAACAATGGATCAGCTGGCTGCGAGTGTGTCTCTGCAGTCTCGGGCCACCGGGACCCTGCCCCGCGTGCCGGGGCTCTGGGAGCGTGTGAGAGAGAGAGTGGGGGGCGACAGCAGCCCCTTTGTTTCCTCCTCTAAGGAAGGAGGCCGTGTGACTGTGTCTGAGTCTTCCCCACCACCTCACGTGACAGCCCCCCATCCTTTGTCCTGAAAACCTGGGAGCAGCCCTAATTGAATCCCCTTTGCGCTCTGGGGGATTCGTTTTGTGAGGCTGTATTTCAGCAGGCCGGCCTTGGGTCGCTGTGGAACAATGCCCCCCAGCCTCAAGCAGCCCCACCCCCCTCCACACACACTCTCCCCACAGTGTCTCTTAGACATGGGTGTGGAAGAACACAAGGCATATATACACCGTTTGAGTTCATAGAATCAAAATGGAATAAAAAAAAAAATCATTAAAAGTGCAGGTTGTTCTTGAAATTAAAGCATGTATGCATCAATTTTTCTAGTAATTTGATACCCTCTCACAGCCGTCTCCTGTTTGATCTGCAATCATTAGGTGTTGGTTTTAAGATGCTTTATTTGCAGACGCCTGGGACCCAGCAGTGTACTCTGGGCCTGGGCACATTAAACAGTTGTTTCCTAAATTAGCTGTGTCCATCCAAAGAAAATGGCAAGGCCTAAATTCCTTTCCCATGGAAAGTGAGCTACTTCATTCTCTGTGTCTTTTTAACAAAATCTCTCAGGGGTTTTTGTTGACCAGAGTAAGCCTTGAGAATTCGGAGAAGCTCGCCCCCAGCAATGCTGTGTGCGCAAAAGAACGCAGAGAATCCGAAACGTCACAAAACGCTTTTGTGGAAAAGTGGGGGACCTCCGCCTGCGAAGTCTCATCTGCAGCAGCTGCTGCAGTCCTGGGAGCAGTTTCATGCTGCCTGTGAGCAGGAGCCTTACTGGACGAGATCCTGGAGGAGGCTGGTGTGGGCTTGGCTTGGGCAGTGAGCGAGCCTCCAGCAGAGAGAGGCTCAGGGCTGCGGTTGCCGTGGCGACGGGAGGTCAAGCTGGGCTCTGCTCTCCCATCCCACATGGCAATAGCAGGCCCCACAGGGGGAGAGGAAGTGAGAAGAGCAGCTTCCTGCCTGGGCTCAAAGGAGGGAGGAACATGTTTCTTGATTATGTGTATATTGCACACCAGTCCTATTAATGTAATTAACAAAAATAGTAGGTGGTGTCATGGTGAAACATATGGAAATATAGGCTGTGAAACAATTCTGCTGCTATTTTTCCATTTGTGCTCTTTCTTCACCTGCCCATCGCTATGTCAAAAGGTGCCATTCATCAGGTGTTTTTTCTACATCTTATAAAATGAAATCAACAATTTTGAAATGCTGTACATCTTTCTAATTTAGACCTGCTTAAAACATGGTATTTTATTAACCTTTCTTATATTTTTATAAAATCTCTATTAAGTAGAAGTAGGGTAATTTTAGGTAGGTACAACCGTAGTTTAGGGTCTGCAAATTTCATTTTTTATATTGTTTGTAAACTAACAAACTAGTTTAGTTTTTTTCTCCATTAGGTAGACTAATTGAATATTAGTGAAGTTTGAATTACCTGAAAGGCTGATCCCCTGGAAATGATTCATTGCAAATGTTTTGATCAATCCTGGCTGAGTCTGGCCTTCTCCCTTCTACTTTGTCATTTGGGATCTGAAAGTATTATTGAAAACCTCCAGCTGATCTTCTTTGGCCAGAAGTCAAGACTTAACCATGAGTCTCTGACAATGTGTGTCTTTGAATTAACCCAATACTTTACCCTTCAGCCTCCCTGGGAGTAGTCTTTTTCTGTGTGGTTCAGTTCTCTTCTAGATGAAGAAATCTCAGTTCAAGAGCCGCTGATCTCTCTTATCGCCCCATGTGGGATTGTCCTTTGTTTCCTTGGTGCCTACACACTGCCTGTGTGTGTGTCTGAGCTGAGCTCACTGCTCCAGATTCCTCTGGTCTGTCACACAAGGTATCAGATTGCGGTAATCTGTCAATTTAATCACACATGCATCTGTTTTCTTCTTTTTTTCCTTTACCTTATATCATTTCTTAAACAGGACTCCTTCCTAACCAGGTCACTTGAAACATTAGAATGAAAGAATCTTTACGTACAAATAAGAGCCAGATGGTGAGCACGGAAGTTGTAAATATATGCTTTAAAAAATTAATGGAAGGTAGGGACCTGTTAAACAGGTTTGTATCACAAAGGCTGTTGTGTAATAGTTGCTGTAAATATGGTAGTGTTAGTACATGCTTGTGCATAATAATGGTGTTGCATTTGTACAATTTGTGACAAAGTGCCAACCTGAAAAAAAACTGCACATGGCCTAGGAGGACATGAACTTAAATTTCTAGATTTCTACTCTTATATTCTTTTATCTTTACTGATTTAAATATGTTTTTGAAAAAAATATTCATTCCACCATAAGACAAGTGTTTGGAAGTAAGAGTTTTTATTCTGTTGTTTTTTGGAAGAGGTGTTAAAGAAGTCGGAACACTCCTCAGAAAAGCACGAGACAAAATAAGCTTAATTCCAGGTACTCTTTAATAGTGTACTGTGTTCTTATGAAAAATGTAATTGCGCAACATTATCTACATACCAGATACAGGGTTGTTACAAAATGTGTTTACACAAGTGTGTTGTGGATCTCATACAACTCGGGGACCTCAAGGATAGCACTGGTTGGGAACTGGCCAGCGTAGTTAATGAATTCTGAAAAGACTGAATACTGCACAAGCATTCAAAATGCTCAAAGGCACTGACAAATTCAACCCAGGAGACCTCTACAGAATCGTCAGTAAAACATGAACCAGAGGGAACATGTAGAAACTATGTCAAAGTGCCTTGAGAACAAGAGGCACTAAGGGTTGTGGGAGTGTGGAACAAGATACCCAGCAATGTTGATGTGACCCAAAATGTAAGATGTGTTTGAACAGCATTTTGCTAGCATATCGTAGCTTTAAAAAGCATGTGCTACCACCTAGCTCTTTACTCCAGGGTAATGCTCTGGTGTGGTGTGCCTTCTGTGTGGAGGGTGCATGTTCTCCCCTATTCCTCAGGTGCTTTGGTTTGCTCCCATCTTCCAGACACATGTGGGTCAGGTTAACTGATGTCTCTAAATTGTCTGTGAATTTTGTTCTTGTCTGGAGTGTCGTCCCACCTTGTGCTATATGCTTCCAAGATAGGCTTTGTGTTGCCAAAGCTATTACCAGGGATGAGTGGTGTGCTGATAATGGTGGGTGACTATTTCACAGCCTGTCCAGATCCTCCTCCACTGAATTTTCAGTCACGTGATGATTTTGTGTGTGGCTGGGGCAATGCAGACTATGTAATTCTGAGGCTCATGCGTCCCCTTGGCTTTGGTTAGATGCATTTTTCATTGTTTCATTCTCAAGGTCCATTGTACTGCCATGCAGGTGGTGAGAATTTATATTGTGCATGCATTTCCAGAGCCATCATGCTGTAAAGAATATTTAATAATAATAATAATTGCTTACTTATATAGCGCTTTTCTGGACACTCCACTCAAAGCGCTTTACAGGTAATGGGGATCCCCTTCACCACCACCAATGTGTAGCCCCACCTGGATGATGCGACAGCAGCCATAGTGCGCCAGAACGCTCACCACACACCCGCTCTCAGTGGGGAGGAGAGCAGAGTAATGAAGCCAGTTCATAGATTCATAGATATTTACAGGATGCGCACAGTTTACAGAACAACAGCGGGTAGACAGTCAAGAGGATACTGGTCAGTGTTTTTTTTTTATTTATTGGTTTCCTGCTGGCAATTAACCAGCCTTCTTCTCATTTTACACAGGTGCTCAGACCCCATGCTCCGCCTAAGGACCCCGTAGTGCCCCCTGCTGGTTTTGCCCTTCCTGTGCGCTCTGTGCCTTCTGCCGCAGTGGCGCCCTCGGCAGGAACATGTCGGCAGCACAGACGCAGAACGACAGCGAGCAGCGCTGGGGCTGCCTGGAGTCGCTGGGGCTCAGTCCCCGAGAGCTGGTCCTGGCCGAGGCTCTGCAGATGGAGTATGACGCCCTCTCCAGGCTGAAGCAGGACAAGACGCCCTCTGGGAGGGGTGTGGGTCAAGGAGGAAAGGTCATGTGCAGTGATAGGCAGAGCCTTAACAACAGCCAAGCTGGAGACAGGGCAAACCTCATCGGGAGACTCTCGGGCTCAGATCCCAGCCTTAACCTGGAGCCCAGCGTCTCCAACCCCTCCCGCGCCAACCTGGAGCCCCGCTGCTACAGCAAGGAGCCCCTCTATATCTTGGACAGACCTGTAAAGGGGGACTTTGGGGGGTCATCCCTCCTGCTCCCCAAAAACTTCATCCCGCCTGATGACCCCCCACCAGCCGTGCCCCCCCGGAACCCGCGCCCGACGGACGCGTTCCAGGACCGGCGCAGCACAACCCTGCGTGACGTTAACCTTTTCACCCCCGAAGTAGACACCCCGAAGCTGCCCAGTGAGGAGAGGGACCCGCTGTGGAACTATGAAGACCTGAACAAGGCACTGACGAGGCTCAACGAGGATTGGGCGGCGCCCCGGGGTCGCAGGGGTGGCGGGGAGATATCGGGGAAGCCCGTCGCCCGCAGTAAAACCCTGCCCCCCCAGGTACCCCCCCGGACCTACCTGCCAGCTCCCAGAAGCCACAAGAACCAGCGCAGGGTTTCGGCAGACCCAGTAAGAGTACGTGACGCCTACCCTCCCCTTCCCTTGGGCCAGACTCACGCATGAAACACTCCGGGTTGTCTGTGAGCGTGTCTGGTGCTTGAGCTGGCCTTGCGTGAGCCGCAACAGCAGCGTTTTTATCGTTTCTTGTTTCTTAACTTGTTGATCTCGTCTGGTCAGAGTAGTCGGTTTCTGTCTCGGTTTGCTGAAAGAAACAGTTGGGCTGGATATTTTAGCTGTTGCCTCAGTCGCCTTGATTTCCCTTTGTGAAGTTTTCTCACTGAGATGTTTGAGGATGTGGTGGTCGATTTTCACTGTGGTGGTGACGGGTTCTCTAGTTTAAACTGATCCCCTTACTTCACAGCTCAGCAACATACGTTTAGGTTTAGTCAGTGTGACGTACATGAACAGCCTGCAGGGGGGGGATCAGAATCTGGCTGTGGGGAGGATGTGGTTTTGCTAAGGCAGTACCTGACGCTGCGGCGGGAAGCAGAGTTCCCGCGAATCAGCCTGCCCCTCTCTCTCTCTCTTCCTCCCGCAGGTCTCCCTGGCCTCGCGGTCCAACGGGTTCAGCTACGAGCTCTTCCAGGTGTCGGAGGAGAGGGATGAGGAAGTGGCGGCCTTCTGCCACATGCTTGACGTGTGAGTCTGTCTGCCCGCCGGCCGTCCATCTGCCCGTCCGCCGGTCTCTGACGAGGAAACTGCAGTTTTTTGGAGGAGGGGGTTTTATGATGGGGTACCCTACACTGCTCCTTCGAGGCCTGAAACCAGAAGGGCTGTTGTAGCTCTTTAAGTTATCAACATATTACGAGTCTATGGTTTATGGCCATGGAGATGGGTCCATGAAAATTGGTCTGTCTAAACTTCAACTGGATTAAGGGACTCAGAATGCAGGTAATGGGTAGTCACATTAAGCCAATAATAACCAAACTATTCCAAGCTGTACAAGTGCTTTACGATCCTCGGCTCTTATCTTGCACCAGAGATAATCCCGACGCCCAGCAGGGACTTTGCTCATTTCGGGTTGCTCCCGTCTCCGCTGCTCGGCTCACCCGTGTGTGGCGCTTGTGATTGCAGGCTGCGGTCCGCCTACCCCTGCAGTGACCGCTCCAGGAACCCTGGCTTCGTGTGGAGTCCCTCTGTCCAGCAGGAGGAGCTGCAGTCCGGCCTCGGCGTCAGCATGAAAGTGACCGTGGCGAGCGACCTCTTCAGAGAGCCCCTCACCTTCACCTGCGACGGTCAGTTCAAGCCGGTCGGGTTTCTCTGCTTCTCAGAAACGGTAGTGGCAGGTTGAGGTAGTCTCTGGTGTTATCAGTGAATCAGGATTTGAGCTCTTTTAATTGCACGAACGGCTCGCAGCACGGAGAGGTTTAAACCAGAATGAAGTGTGAAACTGTATAATCACGGTCAATGTTCTCTTGAGGATTATTTCCACGTTGGAGGCACTCTCTGCGGTTTCCTCTCGGCTCCGAGGCGCCTCGTCTTGAGAAGCAGGCGGGTATCTGGGCTCTGCAGCTGCAGCGAGCTCTAGATCAGCAGCCGCCTCTCCGAGCCCTGCTGTGTTTTTTGGGGAAATTCCGTGAGCGATTCGGCAGATTGCTGCATCAGAGATGTGAACAATGTGCAGCACGAAAGCGTTTCTCAGAAAAATGTCTGTTTTCTGAGTTAAAAGCCATGAAATGGGTACAAGTCTGAGGGTGGGGTAACTTTCTGCTTTCCTGTGTTGGCCTGTATGTACGCTTGCACTGACATAGCAACATTTTTTAAATCGTCTTTCTCCAACTCTTGACTGGGAACTAAATGCCTGTCAAGCAGTTGAACGTTCCTTCCTCCATTCCTGATATAGACAGCTTGCACGCTTACCTCAATAATCACCGGAAGAGCACATGGAAAGATTGGTTGGAAAAGGTTGTCTGTCAATCTCTGAGGAAAAACTCAGAGCGCTGCCGTACTGCATTGGAATGAGATGCAGGTCTTTAGAAGTTGCTAATCTGTCATGCTCTTGAACCAAACAGTCTATAAAATACTGTTTCTCTTCAGTCAGGTTGCACCTGAAATATTGGCAGTATTCTGGATGTTTTTCAGGAGAAGATGTGAGGGTTCAGGAAACTTTTGGAACATTTCTGAGAAAAGGGAATTCAAGGCAAAAAACCAGAACTTCTTTAGAGAACTTTTTTCAAACATCATCAAAACCACAGCCAACAATAACCCATTCCTGACCTGTTCTTTCTAGCTTGGGTCTTGTAATCCATTGTGTTTTCTTGGTACAACTGGAGATTCAACAGTGAGTGTACAGTACCTCAGCTGTAATGGTTTTGATTTCAGTTCTCTGTTTGGGAAAGTTCTGTACGTTTGTTTTCAGCACTTAAAAAGGTCAGATGGGATTTGAAATTTATATCAATCTTATTTCGATTTCTGAGTTTAAGAACTGACCTAATTTGTGTGTGCTGCCTGGAATTCAACTAACTGCAGAAGAATACATTTATTATGGATGTGTTAGATGTATTACCACACCCACCATGAGTGTGTCTGATACTGACACTCTCACCAGCAGGTCTAATACAGTGTTCACCATCAGTTCATCAAATAGTAAGAGCTATTTAGTCAGAACTAAGTTGAGGAGAAGGCTGGGTAATGTTTAGTGCTGAAACTGCTCCCTCACAATAGACTGCTTCTGATACTCAGGACTGACTGAAGGAACAAGTTTAAAGTCTAAACAGCAAGCAAAGCAGTTAAGTCATCAATTAGCGGTGGAGACGTAGAGCTCAGCTGGAATAAACATGACCAGAAGCAGAGATCCTCCCTGACCAGGGCTGGGAACCGTGGCTCTAATGTGTTAGGAATTAATTTTCTGTCCACTCTCCTCTGAAAGCTACACAAGTTGGCTTGCAAAGAAGCAAAGGTTTGATTACAAGGCCAAGCCCAAACTGAATCACAGGCCCCTCTCTCCCCCTAGATTTCCTTTGCTTTTATTGAGGATATTACACAATCCCTCCTATTATGTTAAGTATGAAAGAAAGAACAATAATTGAAATTGAAATTCACCTCATTATCTACTGTTTTCCAGATTTCTTTGCAAAAGCTCAGTTGTGTTATTTCCTCATCTCTCCTCGGAGTTCTCCCTCTGCGCCACGCAGAGCAATGACAACATCATTAATAAAGTGTGCTGCCACAATGGAAAACGTCTTGGTACAGTCAAGACTTTTGAGTGCTTAGCCCAGGGAAGTGCGTCATTGGGACTGTTCACTCTGTGGCTTAAATAAAAACGCACCCCTCCCTTATTTCTCCCCTAGCTACTGATTGAGGAGATAATATTGTTTTGATGCCTGAACACCTGTTTGAGCAAGAGGCTTTCCTTCTGATTTTTGCCACATTGCCAGGGATCTCTGTACAGCAGAACAGAGCCCATCTCTCTCTGTTGGGTTTCTAGCGGAACAATGATCTGTGAATTCCATCAAGCCGCTTCCTAAGGGATCCTATAAAACTGGCTTCTACCTCTGTGTTTTGAAATGTCACCTGCGATGTGCTCTGAGTGCTTCTAAGCTAGTCTGCACATGTGTGCCAAAGCTCTTGTATTCCATCCAGCCATCATAAGAAAGCTTCTTGTTCCTGACAGGGGTCAGGGCACCCCGGAACCTATCCTAGATGCGGGACCTGTACAGCCCAGAAAGCAACTTTTTAATCGTGTCCTTCAGGAGGTAGTGTTCTCTGTTCCTTGGTTTCCTGCCAGGGTAGACCGTGCTCACTGGGACTGCTCAGAGATGCCAATTAACCCCACTAGATGTACATGGGAGAACGTGCAAACTCCACACAGAAGATGTCCCGGTCGATACTCAAACCAAGAACTCAAGAACTTTCAGGCAGGCTGCCGTGCCACCGTGCTGCCTGTGTCCTTGAATTGAGCAGTTAATCCCATCAGCACCGCCTCTCCTGTCCCACGTCCTCAAGACTCTCTCTGTCTGCAGGCTCCTCCACGGTCGACCTGCTGATATACCAGACGCTGTGCTATGCTCACGATGACCTGGACCTGATCGACGTGGAGGAGTATGTGCTGAAGGTGTGCGGCCTGGAGGAGTACTTGCAGAAGTAAGTGCATCGCCCCTCCTCGTTTCTCCTGGCCGGGGGACATCCCAGATCCAGCGCTGGTAGCTGGCGTGAAAGATGAATGTGTATTTCAGGCAGAACAAAATCCTTCAGGGGTTCCTAAGCGTTTTTAATTTTTGTTTTGGGTTCTGCGTCCATGCCAGTGCCCGGCTGTCATCACAGCCTGGTAGTAGCTGGTTGCTCACTGTACTGCCCAGAAAGCAGCTTTTAATCATGACAGTCGGGGGCTTGCTGGTAGTGCCTCTGTGTTCTGGACTTGACACTAAAGCTGGAAACATGTCCATACTGTGAGGACGTGAACGAGTGCTCAATCCTTTGCTGACTCTGATTGAAAGAGAAGCCAGCTCTATACGTTTTGTTCAAAAAGCATTCCTTTTTTCTGACTGTGTCTCAGACCACAGAGCGTGCTACTTGAATGCTGTACCATATCTGTGTATATCTATAAGCAAATGTGTGTCTTGATATGGTATTCACATAATTAGATTCCCAGACGGGCACTCTTAGCAATAGTTTGGCACTCAGCACAATGCTCATGATTGGTCTATTTTCCTGCAGTTTCTTTCTTAACCACGCTCAAGACGGTTTTTTCCTTTGCCGCGCAGTTCATAACCGCACAGTCAGCTGTTAGTTCTGGCACGGCGCGCAGCAACTGTTGGCATGCAGCAACACTGCACCGTGCCAGAGCACCCCCCCCCTCTCCCACCAGCCTCAGTGGCTGGACACAGGCCTCTGTGCTTCAAGACACCAGCCCTGATTGAAGTGCTCCAAGCCCCTCTATTGTGGTTTTGTGGTTCAGTGATACAGGAAATCTGGCTGTGAACTGGTAGCCGCTTACAGACGGTCCTCAGTCAGAAGACGGCTCACGGGTTAGAGAGGCGGTTTATGGGACAAACCAGACGACCACCAGCCCTGGGGCAGACTAGTCCCACCCCTTTGCTCTCTGTGTATCTGTCTGGGGTTTCTGATTTAGAGCAGCGTATCTTTTTAAGAGATGTGTTTAGCCAAATACTGTTTTTTGCTCCTTGCAAGAGAGAGTGGCAGGTAGTTAATGCTGTGCAGCTTTGCTGTTACAGTAGTTGCTTCAGTGACTTTAGGAAAACAAACTTATTAACAGGAAATTCGTTACAAATGCTGATGAATATATGCATAAATATGTATTGTTATTATTGATACTACTTTGAGTTTAAACGTATTATACTGCTTTGTAAAAAAGTATTTAACTGAAAGTCAAAAGTGCCATCAGATGAGAAAGATGATCATTCATGTTGGACTCTATGACCTGTGAGTTAAATAATGAAATGGCTTATCTATAAGGAGACATGGTTTAAATATTTGCACAATGAGTAGTCAAGGAAAAACTCATACAAGAGGATTACCTTTTGACCTTGTTTCACTTGTAGACTTACTCATGTATCCAAGACCTTGGAAGTCCATTTAAAGCCAGGAACAGAAGGCACTTCTTTAAACAAAGGATTGTGGGAGTATGGAACAAGTTACCCAGCACTAAAAATGTTGTTGAAGCCGATACCCTGTTTTCCCCAGATCAGTTAACTACCAACCAAGCTAAAAGGGTCGAATGGCCTGCTAATTACTAACAGTTCTTATGTACTGTACCTCAGTTATCCAGTGCTCACCTGTGTGACTGCGTAAAAATTTAACAAGTGCAATTTTAAGTCTTCTTTTGCCCTGCTAGTGATTGTAATTTGACAGGAAAGGAGGTGCAAACAGGGAGGAAAACTGTGTGTGTCTGTGGGTGTTGAGCGTAAAGAGAGTTGGGATGTGTTCTGCCATTGCTGCCCTGTGCAGCTGGGCAACAGGAAATGTGGGTCCAGCAGATAAGTGAAAAGGTTGCCACAGGCTGTCAAAAGAGGGAGGGTCTTCCTGTGTTTAACGAGACTATTGTTCGCCCCCAGGTCAGTGCCAGCGAATGAACTGAAGCCATTCCGTTTTTAATAACCTCTTTTTCCACGTGTGCAATGCTTTGATTTCCTCTGTTTAAATGCTAACCTATCTAATTCTAGGTTTTCTCAGTAAAAGGGCCTCCCCTGTATAATCTCACCCTGCAAATAAAGTAGTAAAAATCCAGCCATTCCCAAGATAACCCATTTCATTGTACAGTTTACAAACATCTGTGCCCAAGGTGAGCTCTGACTTGTGATTAATGTCGGGATAGCACAGTGATCACTAACAGGCAAATTCAAGTGTATTTCTTCACTCAGAGACTGCATGCAAACGTGTGCAAATATTTTACTAGCTAGAAGAAAGAAAGATCATTTGTTGCTACCTGGTCCACTTGGAGCTCTTTATCTAATCGCTTTTATATGCCTGTGATATTTATTCTTAAACTACTCCTTAGGGCAACACACACTTCTGTGCAAAAGGTGTAGACATTTTTGCTCTTTCACTTGGTGATTTTCCTTATTTATATGCAGAAATGGTGAAATGTCTGAACCATTTTGTTTTCAGATCTCAGTTAATACGTAAAAATCCACACTTTGTTGAACAAAAAGTAGTCTTGTAGCATCTTGGATGTGCATACAGATCAGATGATATCGCCACAGAACTCCTGACTGTGGGTCGATACATTTAACTGGTAAATGTCGTGGATTGGGTACTCCTAAACTCGGTTTCTTCTCACACAGACTAAGCTGTATTATTCCATCCATACTGTACATATTCTAACTGCTTCTTCCAATTCGGAGTCGCAGGGGAGCCGGACCCTGTCCTGGCAAACAGTGAGTGCAAGGCAGGGTACACTCTGGACGGGACACCAGCCCACCTTAGGATAATCTCATAGACACCAACATGCACACACTCACATCAGGGCCCATTTTCCCAGAAGCCAGTAAACTTACCAGTATGTCTTTGGTCTGTGGGAGGAAGCTGGAGTACCTAGGGGTACATGGGGAAAACATCCAAACTCCACACAGATAGCACCCCAGGTCCAGAATTGAACCCAGGACCCTAGCACTGAGAGGCAGCAATGCTAACCACTGTGCTTACACGCCGCCCCAGCTGCATTATTGACATAAGTTAGTATAGTAAGTTATCACAGCAGTAGAAAATGCTGTTTTTTTGCATATATATTAAGTGAAATGGTTAATATAAATGGCTGCTGGTTCATCACACTTGGGTCTTGGGCATTGCATGTAATCCTCCCCATGTCTCCATGGGTTTTCAGTTGGTGTTTCCATAGTCCAAAACATGTTGTCTTGCTTAACTGACACCCACTAAATGTCCCCAGTTGGAGTGGTGTATGGGATGCATTGGATGAAGATATTCTTGGAATTGAAAGTGTACATACTGTATTTAGCAGTATGTACAGTGAATATCTTTATATGACATAATTTGGTGAATTCCTAGCAGTCTAAGCTCTCTGATAGACTCAGGACGTATGAAGGACTTGATTCTCCTTATGATTTACACTCTTCTGATCTTGACCTTTGACCTCTGTCCCTGAGGTCCACAGTTATCATCATCTGTGTTGGCCAAGGAGTACATTTCTTCTGTGGGCTATGGAAGCCTTCAGTGTTGTGTCTAAAGATGTTATATTATTTAAAGCTGCATTTCATTAAAGTTGAGACTACGTATACTGTATGTTGCGTACCTGTGATTAATACCAAATGCATCACCTTTTGATTCTACCCACAGAGCTTAATAAATACAGTGTATTATTATTATTCTATAGCATTCAGATGGCCATGTCAGGTATGCTTAATTGCTCAAGCAACATGGGTGTAACTGGGGAGCCACATGAGAGGATTTGGGTCCCTTTGTCTTCATTTTTTTATTTCAATTGGCCTTGTGTTGTCTTTCAGCAATCAGCCCCTGGCTAGCCTGGAGTACATTCAGCAGTGTCACAAGTTTGACTGGGAGATCCGTCTCTACCTGACCAGGAGGGGTTCATTGAGCCGAGAGCTGACCAGGACGGTACGGGATGGGACCTGTGAGGGCTGGGAGGTAGAAGGAAAGGGGCAGGAAACCATGCAGGGAATACTGTTGCTTTTATAAAGGACAGTCCTGTACGGAGGGAGAGGAAAGCAGTTGGGTTCTAAAGGCCAGGGCTGTGCGATGGTGTAAAGGTCCACATACCTGTGGGATCTGCGGTAGTGTGAGTGTACAGTAGTACATAGATCAGCTCTTTGGCAAGAGTGGACTTTGTTTGAACAGTTGGTTTGACTTAAAGGCTGGGGTGGAAGTGTGGTTTTGTGGCTTCAGGTCTTTAGCTTGAAGGAGGGAAAGTGGTCAAATTATTAGAGCTGAAGGTCAAAGAAATGGACAAGCAGCTTAGAGTCAAGACCTCATACAGACATATGACATGAGAGAAATGTCGCCCACTGTGTGTAAATTAAGACGTATGGACGGTATTTTAGTAGGTAAGAAAAAGTTATTTTTCTGTTACCCGTAGGAGGAAGATGATGAAAGTTCCTCCACAATGAATCAGAACATCCTGCTGCAGGAGCGACCGTTCAGACAGACTGTGACCAGGTGAGAGGGGCAAAGACCAGGTCCCACCACATGCTCGTTCACATCGATGGCAGGACAGGCTGTTGTTGCTCCCTATGAAAAGGTCCCTATGTTCTGCTGGAGGCAGTTTTCACAGGAGCCCACTTTTGTCTTTCGTTATTGTCAGAGAGTCCTGTCATCAGAAAGGTGTGTATCGACTGCAGGAATGTAGTTTCACTGAATCCGAAGGGGAGCATTTTTTGCACACAGTAAAAAGAAGGGTTTGAAAGCTCACAGGCTTGTCTGTGTTTTGAGTTGCATGTCGCTTGATTGCTGTGGACAAGATCCACAGGGTAGCCAGCTGACCCACTTTCATGTGTTTGGCAGGGAGGCTCTGACGCTGCTCCTGGACACTTTCCACAATGAGGCAGAGTGCTTCATCCTGGCAGAGGTACCTTTGCCGCTGTCTCGTCCTTTGTCTGGTTGACAGCTCAAAATGGGTTTGTGTATCTCTTAGGCTCCTTCTGCTGTTCTCAAATACAGACCCATTCACATTGATGCAGAAAGGAAAAACTGCAGTGTTTCTAGACATTCCTAGTGTGTTCTGTGTTCTGAGTGCAGTTGCTGACTGCTACACAGGAATGTGTGGAAAAATAAAAAACAGATGTTCAGTTTTCTGTGCATCTTGATTCCTGACAAAGCTATTAGGTTTTTTTCCTAGATGTCTTGTTTTTTTCCTTGCAGCGAGCAGCATTGTAGGTTGTAGGTTGTTCAATGCATAAACCAGGGTCCAGTACTCCTGGTCCTGTAGCAATGTTTTGTCTGTTCTTTCCCAATTCAGTTGTCCCAGATCTGTGACCCAGCTGTTTAGTTACAGTTTTATTGTAGGCACCATTCCTTCATTCAGCCTGAACTCTGGCTCCCTGTGCAGGTGGACCTGCCTCTGCGTGTGGAGCGCCTCGTCCAGTCTGTCAAGGCTCTGTGCAGCTCGCTGGCAGCAGTGGAGACCCCTGACATCACCAGCGCACTGAACCTGCTCCCCGCCTGCCCCTGCCGCCTGCAGCCCCGAGTCCAGAAGGTAGGGGGTTCTCTGGCGACACCTGTGCACTCCCCCCTGTGTGGACGAGCCCTGCCCAGACGAGTCCAGTTCCCGTGCTTGACAGCACTTGCCGGTGCTGACTGGAGGAGCAGCCTGCCTGTCTCTTGCTGATGTCACCGCAAGCCTGCAGGAGCTGCTGTTGCTCCCTGAACAAAGAGAACCCTGTCCCATTAATCCCATGCCTGTCCCGGCTGGGAGCACAAAGCTGGGGATGCCCTGTGGTGCTCAGCTTGTGACATCACCCAGGACCCTGGGAAGTGCTGATTTACAGTCTTCTGGTCTCCTGTCTGACATGGGTAACATGGTTCACATCAGCCTAACTGTTCTCAGGATAATCAGTCCTCTTCCTTGACTTCTACAAGGTCTGTTGCAATACTTAAGAGTCCTTGTTTTGCTCAGACAGTTTTTTGATTTGTGCATCCCTTTAACGAAGGGAACCTTCATATTCTAATCCCATCAGAAAATCCCTGTTTACCGTGCTGTCAATGTTTTCCCATACCATACAGCTTTTGCCATAATAACTTTAACTAAAAAACAGAACAGCATACAATGTGACTTCTGTTCTTTCTCTGTTGGGGCGCAGATTGATTAGTTCGGTCATCTTGGCCTGTTCTGTTCTCACTATGAGACATGCCTACCAAAAACAACATTGATGCTGTTTCTTGGCCTTGTAATGAGACCATACATGCTCTTGCATTTTTAGAAAAAGCCAGTGACTGAAATACCAATCTCTTGTTCCTGTTTCTTTTAAAATAGAACTTCAGCTTACCACAGCCTTTTCTCTTTTAAGTACATGTATCTGCTTTTGTGATTTTGGGAAGGTTTGATATTGGCTGTTCCCCTTCAGTCAGTGCGGTCTGTCTCTCTCTCTCGAACAGGATATGACAGTGCTGGTGAAGAGAGAGTACCGAGGTAGAGTACCCCTCCATCTTCTTTCCTTCCTGCTCCCTTTACTGATAACCAATGAGGAAAACTAATGTCCGGGAAGAAGCTCTCAAGAAGCTCGAGGCTCCTGCCAAGAGGTTCCCGATGTGTGTGTGCGAAACGGGGTTGGGAGTAAAGATCTTTGACTCTGGGCCAGAGGATGTTAGGAGTCCAGGATTCTGAGAAACAGAGAGGGATGTTTTCTTCCTTTGCCAGGATGTCGACTATTTCAGCTTCTGAAAATCAGGGGGACAATGCTGACTTCAGTCCCCTTCAAATAGGATGAAAACTGACAACAACAACAACAGCGACAAACTAAACGCAAAGCCGAATGAAATCCCTTGAAGCCTAAAAAACAGGATGGGCTGAATAGATGGTTTGCTTGTCTGTAATCTTATTTAACAGCTTTAAGCTTTCTTTCCTTTTACTATACTTACTATTCACTCTAGCAGAGTTTCCCATGATGCCTTACCATGCCTCTCCAGTCTGTTTACCATGACATCAGTGTTTTTTTACAACTTACAGGTTTTCCATAATATCCTTTCCTAAAGGCCAGGGCCCCATTTAAATACAATGCCCAAGTACTTATCTGAAGCCTTCAGTTCAGAGCCTTTTACTCGTAAATGTTGTTTACGAGTAAAAGGCTCTGAACTGAATACTCTTGTATACAATATAATACAATATAGTATATAATTCGTTACACTGTGGCTGTGTTGTGTGTGTTAAGCTGCTGTTGCACTGCAATTTCCCTCACGGGATCAATAAAGTATCTATCTATCTTGTCAGTGTGTCCAGCTGGCACTTGGAGTGAAGTTTAACGGGTCGGTTTTGATGGCTTATTTTTCCAGAAAGAGTGGTGGAGTCCCTCACAGCTTCTGTTCTGGACCTGGTGGAGCTGTACTGCAGCACGTTCAACGCCAACTTCCACACCACGCTGCAGAGCAGCCGCCCCACCGCGCCCGTGCAGGAGGCGGGGCACGTGACCAGCCTGCTCTCGTTCAGCGTCTACGCCGCTCACCGCGTCCCCATCTCCTGGGCCGCCAGGTACCACCCGCAGGGGGCAGGGTCACCAAACCCGCCGGGCTGGGCTGTTACTGAGCTAATGGTCTTCAAGGATATGGAGAATGCTTTTTCGTGTGCTTCAAAACAAAGTCCCCGCATTTCCACAGTTTTTTCCATTCACCCACAAAACAGAAGCACTTTTTAGCAGAAAGGGTTGTGGGAATCTCTAACAAGCTAAGTGTTTATCAGTTCTAATTTTGCCTTTTTTTTCCCAGGAAATGGCTTGATGAGATTCAGATCAATTAGCCACTAATTCAAGAACCTTTCTTATCTTCTTACATATAAATCTTTGAATCGCATTGTAGTTGCATCTGAGATTTACTTAAACACTTTTATGCACCTGTTTTACTTTATAAACATGTATGCTGGGCTGTTAAGGACCAGTAGTGCCATAAATTAATTTTAGTTTAGAAACACCCACTGAGAACAGACAGTTACTGTAAGTTTCGTGATTTATCTTGCTGCGGTGGTAGTAAGATTGTTCTGTGATAGCACCCTGGGACAGGGATTCTTATTTATTTCTTCATTTCTTTCTGTATTCTGAATGGGCAAGTGATGGAGGGAATTCTGCAGTGCCCTCAACTTGCAGCCCGTATTATTGAAATGTGCACCCTGCCGTTGGAGAAAACAAAACAAAACAGTCTTTCTGAGTGCAATAAAATCTACACGGATTCAATGGCAAAAAAAAAAAACTTAAACCTCCTGGCACAAGACGTAGTGAGGCGGGAATCTTTAAAATGACTGCAGCTGTCACTTTACCAGCTCACACACGCTGGATCATTGTGTGTGTGGTATGTGAACTGCGTCTGAGAATTGCAAACAAATTAAATCAGTGCTTGAAACAGTGAAGCGTCATTGCCGACTGTGACTTCATACTGGTGCACACATACCTGCACAGACACATGACATCCCACTCATTGGCCTCAATGTTCCCCTCCCAGGTTGGCTGAAGGCTTCGGCCCCACAGTAGCTTTCCCCCCACAGTGCTGTGCATGGTTGGGCCCCCCCTCATCTCATCCCTGTTCCCTGGGGAGCCTGGCCCAGCCCACCGACCCCTGTTGACCCGGCCATTGTTCCCTTCTGAAATGGAGGCTGATTGATGATTGGTGCCTGACAAAGAAAGCAGCCTGGGAACCCCGTGTGCCCTTTGACCCCGCCCAGGCTGGGAGAGCGGCTGGCTGGTCGCTAGGCACCTGTCCGCTGGGGGTTGGAGGGCAGGATCTGTGTCGCATGCCATCTGCCCGTCTGCGGACTGGGGTCTCCTGGGGGGGTACTGACGGCGCAGGGAGGAGGAGGGGGTGAAGGCAGGCTCATTGATCGCACATCCCCTGATAGTCACAGAGGCCTCCAATTTATTTGATTAGCTCTTTTCTGATTGTGGCGTTTCAAGTATTTTCAGACAGTTGCTCACCAGGGCTACGACAGTCTCTGTTTCTGGACTGTAAAATCTCCGGGATAGAGCAGAACTGACAGCTTTGCATTTTTTTAATTTATGGCAATTATTTAATTGCAGATGCTGAAATTTCCCCAAACTGTCTCCCTTTTGATTTGTGTTGTGAATTAAAGTCACAAAAACAAAGAAATGAAGTGCAACAATGTCTGTATTGAGGAGGTCTAGTCTTGGAAATTGTTCAGTTTCTGAGCTGCCAGTGAAACAACCTGCACATTCACATCCACGCTGCAAGTACTGGTCCTTATTAAACTCTGTCTCTCTCTCACAGCTACGAGGGCTTCTTCCTGTCCTGCTCTCTGACACATGGCATGGAGGAGCTCTGTGCCCCTCAGCACACCAGCAAACAGTCCGTCAGCAAGTACCTGTTTCACCTGGTGGTCTGGGACCAGAGGTCAGTCTCACTGGGGTCCTGCGGGATGACTAGAGGGAAACATTCAGGTCCTTTGGCTGACTCTCAAACTGAGCCTGGGATTCCTAAGACCCTGAGGTGTTCTTCAAAGTACATCTAGTATTGCTCTTAAAGTGCCTGAAGGGAAACTCGTTTTGTTACTTGTCTTTATGATGTCTTTTTACGATGAATGTGAATTTTAGATGACTGCGTCATACAGAACCTTTGGCAAGTTTCTTACTCGTTTTATACTTTCTCAAGAAGTATGAGGTTGAAGCATTAAAAAAATAGAAGATTAACAAAAGCAGGGCTGTTTATTATTAAGTTTAGTTGATTCAAGTGAAAAAATATTTAAAATCCTCATTCAAATGCAAACTCAAAACCTTATTCTTCAGGAAGACTTTTTTTTTAAATTGGTGTCTATGTCTGCTCCTGGCATCTTCTATTATTTGATTTGATGTAATTTGGGCATGTTTCTGTGAAGTCTATGGGGATTATAGTGTTTCTGAGTAGAAGCGGTTCGAGGCTTATTTCTGAAGGTGATCATGGTGTTAGGGACCCGTGTTGGTGAGTGTGCTTGCGGGCGTCAGGGAACATGTCATTTCAAGTGACAGTCCGCTCTTGACAACAGGACTCTGTGTCAGAATAACATCCGGTGACTTTTCAAACATTCCTTCCAGCTTGTGGTCGCCACGTCCTGTATTTAACTTATTGTTTGTAACGGGACTTTTGAAGCCCATTGTTTTTGATATTTTTAGCCCCTTTTCCTGCGTGACTTATCAGAAGTGGAAGCGATGCTGCCTAGTTTAGGGCTAAAATGCACTTCAGATCTGTTGGGTTTGTGATATATTGTCCTAACAGGCACTTCCAGTTAAAAATGTTATTGTTGAACCCACTGAGCAGTTGATGATGATTGTTATTCATAATAATAATCATCATTATTATTGCAGTAGCCAGAGCCTATCTCAACGAGCAACAGACGTCAGTTCATTGCAGGGCACACACAAACGTGCACCAAGGTCAGTTTTCCCAGAAGCCAATTAACCTACCAGTGTGTGTTGGGAGTGTGGGAAGAGACCGTAGCATCTGGAAGAAACCCACATGGACACAGGGCGAATACAAAAACTCCGTACAGATAGCAGCCCAGGATTTGAACCGAGGGCCTCAGGTCCGTGAGGCAGATGGGCTAACCACTGTGCTTTGTGCTGCCTCAATAATAAAAGTAGTAATAATCATCGTGACCAAAAGAAGAACAGAGCTGTAGTTTGTTGGCTCATCAGTGGTACAGAAAGGCGGCGTTTGGTGTTTATGCATCAGGGGGCTCGTACTGGATCACTGTGCTTGAAAATGTGCTGGGGCCCTGACCAAAACAGGGAAAACAGTTTTCCCTCATGCAAGTTGCTCCCCCCTTTTATCCCTGTGGGGTAAGACGTGTGTCACTTGAACTTGCCTGGGATTGGGATGGGGTTATTTCTGAGGCCCTCTATTTCCAGGGGCAGATTATTTTGGGTGCGGTGTAAGGGGAGCTGGAGGGGCGTCTGCCTGCTGCACAGCCGTGTGCGTGTTTCAGCCGTCCACAGACACCAGGGTGTTAAAGCCCAGACAACTTTTTGGAACGGAAACATAAATGAACGCCGTTCTACAAACATCGGAGGCAGTTCTGAAATCCCACAAGCTCCTCACACCCCCTGAGACCTTGTGAGCAGCAGTCCACGCCTGGAGAGAGGTGGTTTGTCGGTTTGAGCTCTGTCCATGTGGGGTTGGCGATCATCCTTACAGACGACTGCGGGGGCAGAGAAGTTCCGAGTTCCAGATGATGTCTGACGTTTTGGACCCACGAACTAGACCCTAATAATAATAAAGTTTTCCCACCTCTGCGGATGAGCACCTGGTCTCGCTGTTTTTGTGCAGAGAAGCTTCCTTTTCCGGGCAGCTTCCTGAAGGAAGTCTGCAGTTCGCCCCGTGCCTGGGCTGCGGCAGCTGGATTGGGTCTTTGTTTGTGCTCGGGGAAACTCGGCCACGGGACACGCTGCCAGCCCTCGGATTGCCCTAGTTTGGCCAGGAATGCCGTTCCGGTTGTGATACTGCTTCGGGGAGAAGTAGCAGCGCATCGGTCCTAACACTGAGAGGTCTCAGATCCGCGTTGTCCGCGATCCTCGTTGTCCCAAGCCAGACCTCATGGCAGCCCCGCCCTTCTGTCCGTCTGTGTCGGCTTCTGGCTTCTGTCGTCCCAGTGGACAGAGGTAACCCCCTCTTCTCTGACCCGAGCCGGGGTGTGACAACCGGACTAGCTGTCAGGAAACAGCTGGCTGGGGTTGAAGAGTCAGAAAGCTGCACAGGCCTCAATGGCTGAGCGTGCCGCCTCGTCCACTGCAGCCTGTGGTCGTGTTCCAGTGACACGTGACAGACGCCCATGTCCGGCCTGCGCTGCTGTCCACTCCGAAGGTCTGGCAGCCTGTCCAGCTGCGGCGCCGCTGCTGCCTTCTTGGATCCCCGGTGGATGAGAGCACAGCTGTTTAAAACATTAATTATTTCACTCTGTTCCTGCAGACATTGTGCCGTTGAATTAGGCCGGGATGCTGTGTGGGCTCTTGAGGGGCTCGGTCAGTACATGTGTAAGCTGGGCTGCACTGTCCCAATGTCTAGCCTGGGCTGTACTGCCTGCTGACCGTGAGCGGTTCTGGCCTGAGTGGGCTTGAGCAGTGTTCTTGAGATCTTGTGTTCTTGAGTTGTTGTGCATCAGTCTGCTCTGACATTGGCCCTGTTGTCTGTGGGAGCAGCACCTATCCTCCAATCCTCACTAGCTCTCCTGCAGGGCTCTGTGGGACTATAATTGTAATTAATTGTGAGAGATGAGCCAGCCTTATTCACAGCAGACTTTTACAAATGTGACAAAAATGGTGACTCGCTGAATTTACACACTGAAGAGCTCAAAAATGTGAAAACAGCCACAAGACGTTCCTTTTTGTTTTGGCGATAGTTGATTTATATGCTGTTGAGCAATATTTAGCACTTGTCTATATATAGAATGTTTAACTTTTCCCAAAGTTTTTAAAAGTCACTGCACAGCAATTGGAACATGAAGTAGAACACATCGCAGGCTCCTTAGGTGAAAGACTTCCTTTCCCATCTGTGGGTCAGTCTTCACCGGCCAGCTGGCTGTGGTGCCTGGACATTCAGGTCTGCAGGGGCTGAACCAGCTGGAGATCACGGCTGCCATTCTAAGCACTTACCTCTCTGTCTGCGTCTTTAGGATCTGCTTCCCAGTGCAGATCAACCGGTTGCCGCGGGAGACGCAGCTGACGGTGACTCTGTACGCCATGCCGTTGCCTCCACCAGGGGGCGCCGAGGACAAGAACAAACAGCGTCGGACCGTGGAAGCCCTGGGTTGGGTCACTATGCCACTCTTCAATTTTCGACAGTGAGTCGCCTGCGGGCATCAGCGGGCTAGGGGCAGAACACGGAGTCTTGTAAAATTAAAACCCTTTACATATAAATACAGTGGAATTTGACTTTTTTCCCCACGGGACTCTATGAAGATGCGCCAGTGACACTCAATGAGCTTTGCTTCTTTCCCATGAATCCCATTTTTACCCAGTGCTTCTCTGATGGTGGAATCATGAGCACTGGCTTTAGCCAAGGCTTCCAAGGTCGTTTGCGTCTTCCTGGACAATGTTCTGCTGCGCTCTTGGAGTGATTTTGGCAGGATGACCAATCTCTTGGGAAGACTCACTATTGTCCAAAGTCTATAAAGATTAATAAAGACATAACTCTCTCTGAGACATTTTTCACTGTCCTGGTTTCCATGGCTTGACTGTGCCTGGAGTATGGCCATTATGTAATAGCTCTGTGTCCAGTGATTTAAGTGACCCTTCACATGTCCATCATGGCTGGTGGTCGTGATCATGGGAGCAATGAAACCGCTGCCTTCCACTCCCGCTCAACTGCTGTACTCATAAGCCACAGGCAGCTCCTTGTTCATGGGTGTGAGAGAAAGCAAAATCTTTGTGACACTGTAGGTGCGGGTGGAAGCACCGCACAGCTGGAAAAGCTACAGGATGACTATCCCTGACCTGTAGCCTATTGAGCTGTGTTTCAGATTGCTGATGGCTGAGCCAAGATCGTGTAGGTCAGACGTGATGTGATGAGTGAGAGGGACCTCTGCTCTTACCCCTCCTGTGCTCTGTTTGTATCTCTGCGCAGTGTGTTGACCTGTGGGAGGAAGTTGCTCGGTTTGTGGCCTTCGACCCCAGAAAGTGGAACCGCCCGTTCCAGCACCCCCAACTTCAGCCAGCCTGACAGCGTCATCCTGCAGGTAAGGCTGGGTCCCTTTTTGTGACCTCCCTCTATAGTGCTTTGCCTTACCTCATGAGTAGGGTGACGTGACTCAAAGCAGGAATGCATGCAAATGTGGGAAAAATAATACCCAAAATGGAAAAAATACTTCTATCCCCAAAAAATTCTAACAATGAAAAAAGTTAAGTCCAGTCTTGACCTATGCTGTACAGTTCTTAATGCAGCTAGGCAGAGCGTACCATAACCTTGTTACATAACAACAGAGAGTAAACTCACTTTGAGATTAGCATGGAAAACAGAGTCCTAGAGTTTAGTATGAGGCTTTCTCAGTCGGCTACAAATGAGTCAGACCAGTAGAAGCTTAAAATTCAGATGACATCTAAATTGCATCAAATTTAGCATCAGTGCCAAAATGCTAAAATTGCTAAGTTCTAGTCAGGACCCGAGCAACTTGAGTTCTTCAAATACTGCAAAACTGTTGACAACATTCTTAAAAACACCAACAAGTAAAGCATAACACCAATGATGTGTGTAGAGGATAAAAGCAATGTCTCTTCCTCAGCCAATCTGAGACTGACTGAGTCTGAGCAACATTTCTCAAATGCCAGTTTAAATGGAAAAGAACTCTAACATTCATGGCTATGGGGCTGGGTTGTACAATACAAAAAATGCAACAAGAAAAAGTCTTCAGCAGTAATACAGCCCTGGTTCTTTTTTCAGTTTGCCTTGGCAGACTAACGAGTCTAAGGGAAGCTGCCTATTATTTGAATTGATTGTGTGGTTTCCTGCAGCACTCACTTAATTAGGAGCTCTTTAATCTGGAGGTACTAAAGGCATCTTAGCGCAATTAGACATGTATCTTAACCCACCTCCTCACCTCCTCAGACAAAACATCCGGTGCCAATTCCACATCTGGCCTAGATTAGTTCCCTATCCCACCTCTGCTGTCCTGATTTTTTCTGCTCTCTATCTATCGACATCATTTTTCAGACCCTTTTTATTCTTCTCCCATCTTCTCTCATTTTGCTTTTTCTTCTGCATGTTGGAAATTTTTCCTCCCATGCATTCTTCTGACTCTGCATCCTCCTTGTTTCTCTCTTCCCTCCTTCCTTCCTCTCCTCTGTCCCTCCCTCTCTCTGTATGTCGATGTGGCGCAGTCTTTCATGTGCAGTAAAGGCTCCATCTCTCTCGCACTCTGTTTCTGCATCCCTGTAGGACCAGATCTGCCTCCGACCCTTTGTTTCTATCTTCATTAAAAAAATCACCCCTCTGAAACTGCTTTTTACACTCTTCTACACTTCACACTCCTCGTTTTCCTGCCTTGGAATTTGTCCTTTCATACCATTTACTTTGGCAAAACACTCAGATCATTTGCCATTTCATTCTTTCTAGTCCTTGGCTGTTTATCCTGAAGTATCAGTTTATCCAAATATATCCTGAAATATCAGCGTGCCCTGAAATATCCCTGATATATCTGCAATATCACCCTGTCCTGAAATATTCCTAATATCCCAATATATCCTGATGCATCTGTCTGTCCTGATATACTTTCCCTGAGAGCAGAACTATGAAGATATTTTATTTGTAAACTAGTGCTGTTTTGGGGGAATGTCTGTTTGCTTCTAATTTTATGGTTGTTTTTTTTAAGTGGCTGTCTGGCTTAGACGCACAGTTGCAATTATACTGTAATAAGAACTTTCCACTCGTGCAGGTGTGCTGAACGTGTAGCGCAGAGGTTTGTCAAGATGAACTTCCGTGTCCATTGTGGTTCTGCGTCCTCCGTTCTTCCCCCAAAACATGTCCCCTGGCAGTCCTGCCCAGTTTTGTACCCCATAGAATCCTGCCATCCTCTACTGGGTGTCATGGATTACTGGCAGGTGAATCCAGTCTCACACATGACATAGGAAGCAGGCTTGTTGTGCCTTTCCCATAAGGCACTTTGAGATTCTTAGGCAATTGGGGGTGTTGTTTGCAGTTGCTCCTCGTCATGATCTCCTTGCTGTGTCTTCTAGGTCGATTTCCCCACCTCTGCCTTTGAGGTGCTCTTCTCCACGCCACCTCCTGCTGGATTCAGCCCCCAGTATGACCTCTCTCGAAAGGACACAGAAAGCCAGGGAAGGCTAAAGGACATCCTGCACAAGAACTCCCTCTTCTGGTGAGACACTGGGGTCTGATCCTCAACTGACAGCACTGTCTGCCTGTAGTTCTCTGATTTATGTTGGGATTCAATTAAGTACCAAAGCTAGCCACCCAAACACTGCTTCTGTTTTAAGGTTATCCGTAAGGATATTTGTGATTTGTGAATGTTGTGCATTTCCTAAACAACACCAGGTCCCTGGTGCAAAACCCAGTTGTGCCACCCTGAGCAAATTTCTGAAGCATTGAGTCCTTTGACTCTTGGATGAGACAACTGAAGTCCTGATGCTAATAACTTTGCAGTAACAGATGGAGACGAATTTTCCACCCCGTCGTCTCTGTAAATCACTCTGGGTAATAGCATCACTTAAATAGCTAACAGAAATATGCAGGGCATATATATATACTGTACAACTGACGCTTATAGCCCACAGTGACTGGTCTTCATTTAAATCCCTTGCATGTCTTGATTTTTGAAATGCCTTTGGAATGACCAGGAAGGCTTACTAGGGGAAGCTGAAAGCATCGAACTGCAGAGTCTGCCTTAAAAGAAACAAGAAAAACTTCCATTTTTAGTTTTCGTTTTATTTCAACCGATCAGAAATAGGAAGTGAAAGCAGATGAGCTGAGCAGAGAGACAGACATGCTGGCGCGAGGCGAGACATGGTGTTTTGGATATTTCAGCCATCATTCTCTTGCCTGCTATCTTTCTTGGTCCTTTTTTGAAGGTGGGGCTCGAGCTCTTTCTTCCAGACAGGGAACAACTGATCGTCAGATTCAGATGAGTGTAAAAGGGTCAAAATGCAAATGCTGCTTAAGGCCCACAAAGGCAGACTTCTGAACAGCTATGGGACAGAAGCCGTCTGCCTCTGCCCCTCCCCCCAGTACGTACAGAGGTGCCCATTCAGGGGGCGTGGGGTGGCTACAGAATTCTTTCAGAGAGAGTGTGGAGGACTGCGAGTCACAATTATATATTCTCCAAGCTCCTGCGATAAATTGGACCTCTGTGTGCATTCCCAGCACGTCAATACTGAGATATTTCCCGAGCTGTCTAGCGAGAGAGGGGGAGGAGTGGGGGAGGAGAAGAGTGGAGGTCACAGATGGGAGATCTGAGAGACAGGGAAAGAGGCGGAGTTCACGATGCTGAGACAGGGGTGTGGGGGTTTATGTGGACAGTGAAGGCTAGGGGTCCATCTGTAGACCATCCACTTTCACCTTCAACAACACTGTTCCGGCCTGCTCATCCATTAAAACTGACTTGCTGTGCCTGACCTCCCCTCTCTTTCAATTGTGATTTCTGCCATCAAAAGTGCAGCATCATATAAAATCAGGATTGTGAGTGTTCGGTCCCAGATGCTTGTTTGAAAGAACAGGCTGTGTGGGGCAATTGCTCAATTGCTTGTCCTGTGCTCCCCAGTGGTGAAACTGCAGCTCGAAAGTCAGATCAGACGTGCCGATTCATATCTACAGTACCTGACATGAGAACAATGCAGAGGAAAGAGAAAGCAGTGTTTTAATACACTTTCAACGTGACTAGTGGCAGAACAAGATCCACGGGATACCTGAATGCATCACTTCACCATGCGCCCTGTAGGGCAACATTAAGATTGCCTAGTCTGGAGAAGGCTAAGTGGCCCAGGGGAGAGGGGTAAAGGACTTGTGAGTTCTACTGTGCTACTGTCTTGCTGTTAGTTATTATGCAGGAGTTGCTGAGCCCCCTGTGCTACATTGTTTGGATGAGACATAAAAGCCCTCTGCTGATTAATCAAATGCACTGCACGCCATACTGCCCATCTGCACACCCCTGAAGATTGTGGCCATAAAACCCGCGCAGTCTCACATAGTTTAAAACATAGCGTACGTGCCAGCCACTCAGATCATATATCCTCCGTGAATAAGCATCCTGTCAGCGGACTCTTCACTGGTATGCCCTCAGCATACAGTAAGTGCTGTATTGGAACTGGAAAGTGACTCTGGCTGCAGCTCCACGCGTGCAGAGGAAGCTAACAGGCCTTTCTTTGCCAAGGCCAGGACTTCTGTCTGTGGGCTGCCCCGAGTCTGGGAACAGGCTCCGCGTCTGTTGTCTTGGGGGACATGCAGGCGGAGAAAGGCAGCTGCTCACGGCCTCGCTGGCGTGCCCGGGATTAGGTTCGCTTTCCGAAGAGCTCGCCTGGCCCTCTGGCAGCTCAGTCCTGTCCTGGCTGATGGAGTAGGGGGATCAGGAATCGGGATAGGGCTGGAAATCTGGAATCGGGATAGAGCCCCCCCTGCAGTCACTTATCACAGCAGGACCCTGGCTGCTGTCCTAGGGGACCGCCTCAGTATGGACCCACCCAGAGAGAGGACTGAAAAGAGCAGCAGCACCTGGTCAGTGAGTCTCCGATTTCCACTGAGTCTCGTGTGCAGGGAAAGTTCAGCTCTTCTTACACAACTTGCTGGGGCCTCCTGCCTGTTTTCCGGCAGCCAGCTCATGTGTGTGCTTATGCTCAGGCGATCATGCTATGAGTCTTTGCATCTCTTGCATTCTGCTGAGTCCTGGGACGCTCGTGCAAATAAGAGCTGAGTTTTGGGGGCGAGGATGAGGGTTCAGTGCTGGACGACAGTTTTATGTTTAAAGGTGACAAAATCTCGTGGAAAGTGAACGTGTAACAATGCCAGCCCTGGAGCTCTGGCAGGATGGCCCCCCCTTCTTGTTCTCCTGACGGGGAAGAGCAGTTCGCTGGCTGCCACGAGTGAATTCCTGAAATAATAGGTTTTGTAAAAACCGCGTGGTTGTGATTTTTGCTGTCAGCTGTAGATGTGAGAAACCACGCTGCCAAACAAGTAGTCTTTCAGGAAATACTTCCAAAAGACTTCCAGGCTGAATTCCCTGAGTTGTTTTTTAAGGAATGCTTTCAGTGCGTTGCATCTTTTTGTTTTGTTTTATCTGTGCTTTGCTCTCCTCCCTCCCCCCTCCCCCCTCCCCCAGGCCGATCAGGGGGGTATCGGTTTTCACGCCCCCTGCCCACACCTGCCGCTTGTCTCTCATGCCTGAGCGCTGCGGCCGCGGGCGCCGGGCTGTGTTGTGCCGTAACCATGGCGCGCGGCGGCGGGCATGTCTCGGGCCCTCTGCGGAGGGTCGAGGGCTCTGTGGCTGTAAGTGCTGCGCAGCGCAAAGCAAACGAAAGGGGAAGGAGAGCGGAGCTGCAGTCAGGCGTTTGGGCTGGCAGAGCCGAGGGGAGGCCTGCGCTTTCTGCCTCAGCTCTGCGCTCGCTCTGCAGAACTGTGTGAAAGGCATCGAAGAAGATTGCTGAAGTGCTGCAGCCATACTTTGCTTTAAAAATTAAGGCTTTTTATTAGAGGCTGTTTTTCTTGGCCCATGTCTTACTCGTCACATTAACGATTTTAGCACTTCAGTTGTTTGTTTTCATTCTGGTTATCGTACTCCTATTACCCTGAGAAGAGTACTGTATACTTGGTTTTAATGACCTCCGTCATTAGCGCTCTGATGACACAACAGGGTATCCTGATATCCGGATCCGGGTGTGACAGCACCCCCCCACCTGCAGAAGCCGGGAGTGACCCAGAGAAGATAAGGGTAGCAGACTGATGTGCTTGTTCTTGGGTGTTAACAGATAAAAAACTCGGAGCTAGTTTGGCATTTTAGTTTTTAGACGGTAAGAAGGACACTGTGATTATTATCATTTCCCTTGTCAAACTCAGTAGCAGGGGCTGTACAACTTTAGTTTTTTGGTGGTGTCATATACCAGTTTGTGGAATGACATGAGAATAGAGAGGATTTCCTCCTCCAGCCAACGCCAGTGTTTTCTTGGAATTCAGGACTATGCCTGTGCCCTCTAGTGGTCATGATGTGCAATAAAATGTCTTCTCCACTTTTAAATCTTCAGTCTTCTCGGTATTCTGGCACTAATCACTCTTGTGAAAATTAGAACGGCATTGTGTTCCCCTTGTAGGAACACAAGGGGACACTAGAACTATCTGTTAGAATGATTCTGGAGGTATAAGGGTTTTTTTAGAATTAGGAAGTCTTCTTAAGTTTGAGGAACTCCATTTCTTTCTCAAAGGGTTCTATTTCTTTACTCTGCACACATAGTACAAGATTCTTAACCTCAGGACAAAAATGTGTCTGTTGAGTTAGCAGCTGTAAAGCAAAGTAGGGATTTTGATACCCAGCCTGTTCCTTGTTTATGAATGTGTTGATTGCTGCTCTTTTCAGTCAGGACTGAGGCCTGGGACAGCTGAATAAGACAGAGTATTTTGTATCCACGATAAGCATGCAAATACACTGTATTGCTTTAGAGCAGTACACTGACTGTGTGCTGTAGAGCTTACAGTGACAAATTGTACATGGCACCACTCATTGTTTTACTTGTTTCTAGATATGCATCTTTTCCTCATTGTTAAATAGCAGAATTGTGGACATTGACACCTGTGGTAGAGTAGGGAGTGGTTATAATCCCCGGTTTATCTCTGTCTGTTTATTACAGCCACTTCCTGTCAGATTTCAGCTAGCCCCTGTGCGTGCTGTATAACGAGGATGTGGCGTACAACTTCATTACCTCAAGTTTCAAGCTCAGGTTTCAAGTTTATTGTCATATGTACCCGAGTCCAATGAAATGCTTAGTTGAGTGATTCCTCACTTGAGAAACAACACCACAAAATGTTGGAGACAAGAACATGAAACAATAAGTGCAGCAGTATGCATAAACATACGGTTAGCAGCTATACAGGAGATTAGTACAGAATAATAGCTTACATATAGTTCACATTACATTGGGTAACAACTGTAATCTTCAGCAGCATTTAGATAGCAGCAATAAGCAAACCCGAGTAGAGACAGGATTGAGAGCTCCATGCAAACGCAGTGGGGTGTAAAATGGGAGTAAGAGGCAGTGTTCAGAAGTATTTCTTTGAACCTCATTCACATGTCTCCCTTGACTGTCTACCCTGCTTTCTGTCCCCTGTGATCCTGTGTCTTACAGCAGAGTCCCTCATGCAACACTCTTTCTCTTCCTCTCCCTGACCCAGGCTGACCCAGGAGGACCGCCGGCATTTGTGGGAGAATCGCTATTTCTGCCACTCGGAAAACAGCTCTCTGCCCCTGGTGCTCGCCAGCGCCCCCAGCTGGGAGTGGGCCTGCCTGCCCGATATCTACGCCCTGCTGAAGCAGTGGGCCTGCATGAACCACCTGGACGCGCTGGGCCTGCTGCACGCTACGTAAGAGCCGCCTCCAGTCTGGCCTCCCGACAGCTCAGCTAGGAGGTTGAGCCTGACCGAGGAGATGTGTTCCCACAGTCGGAGATCCTGAGCTCCGTCCTGCTGTTGCTCATACACTGCTTCCTCACAGGGCTTTGCTAATGTTGTCCCTTGGCCTTTAATGCAGAAAGGCATGGTCAGACAGCACTCTCACCCTGATCAGCTGTTGTCCAAGATGCTTTAAAGGTTTTTGATGAGCTTTAAGAAATAGACATAAACTGCTGGTTCCTGGGTTGGATTCCTCGGATGATAACTGTGTGGAGTTTGTGTTCACTCTGTGTTCACCTGGGTTTCCTCCAGGTGCTCCGGTTTCCACCTACTGTCGAAAGACATACGGTACTGCTACTGTAGGTTCATTGTGATTTTGTCTGTCTGCCCAGTGAGGGACTGGTGTCCTGTCCAGGATGTACCTTGCCTGGTGACTGCTGCTTGCCAGCATAGGCCCGGGCTCCCCTGTGACCCTGAATTGGAAGAAGCAGTTAGAAAATGGATGGATGTTGTAGAAATAATTTATCTCGAAGTGCAGGACCATGAACTCTTTGGTGAACTCGCTCTCCCACGCGCATCTCCTATCTTCACGCCTTAGTTTGTGAGGTTTTAATTCCACATGCGTGGCTCCGGTTTGTCCCAGGTTTCCTGACCAGGAGCTCAGGAGGACAGCCGTCCACTGGATGGACTCCATCTCGGACTCCGAGCTGCTGGACTTCCTGCCCCAGCTGGTGCAGGTATTTGGGATCCCAGAGGGAAACAAGGGAGGGTGGGGCAAAGGGGTGTCAGATTTATGGTGGCACAGTGAAAAGGCTTGCTGGGGTATGTTTCCCCCCTAAATATAGTCAAGGCACTCCAGAGTATATTCTAGAGTCTCACAGTGTGGGAACTAGAAAGGAAACACCTCATATATAGATGTCTATCGCCCCTAGATATTACGATGATTAAGGTCAGAACTGTCGCTCATCGGGGCAGAGGGATGTCTGTTTTTCACCCATCTCCCTCCTCCCTCTCCTCTGGACAGGCTCTGAAGTATGAGTGCTATCTGGACAGCCCGCTGGTGAGGTTCCTACTGCGGAGAGCCATCGGGGACCTGCGGATTGCCCACTACCTCTTCTGGTGCGTACACGCACTCTCCTGCAGAGTGCACAGGGAGGAGCTTATACGATGAATGGCCTGAACATGACCTTTTCAAATTTGATGTCATTGAACAAATTGATTTTTGTGCTTTTAAGAAGTATCACTGTTTTCACTTAAAGGACTAAAGGGCATTGTGTTAGTTCTCAGTGTGAGTCCCTGTGGATGAGCTCTCTTCAGGAGCATTAAGAGTTACTGCTTGACAGGGTGCCACTGGCTTCAGCGTGGTGATTCAGTTATGCAGTGTCACCTTGGCTGGCCTGGGTGCCAGAGCTGTGTGCCCTGTCCGGTGAACACAGCCTCTCCTCTCCCCCCGGCAGGCTGCTGAAGGACGCGCTGCAGGACTCCCAGTTCAGCGTGCGCTACCAGTACCTGCTGGCCGCCCTCCTGTGCTGCGCGGGCCGCGGCCTGCGGGACGAGTTCGACCGGCAGTGCTGGCTGGTCACCATCCTGTCCAAGGTGGCGCAGCGGGTGCGAGACGCCTCTCCGTCCTCACGGCAGGTCAGGGACTGGTTCTGGTCTTTTCTGTCTCTCTTCCATTCCAGAGCAGAAGAACCCTTGGAAACAATTATATGCCAAATACGTAAACCTAATGATTTGTTTTTAAATTCAAATTTATATTTAGTTTTTTTAAAACATAAAATATTTCTAAAATAAGGGGTCAAACTAACACGATCTCCTCCATTATGTCTGCTGTGTCGCCACACATCTGTCCCGGCCTGGGGAACCTTCCTTTTGGAGTTTGCATGTTCTCTCCTGATCTGCGTTGGCTTTCTCTGGATGGTGCAGCTGCCTCTCGCAATTCAAAGACATCCTGCCTGGAATTATTGGCATCTCTAAATTGCCCCCAGTATAAGACGGTATAAGATGACAGCTACATAGCTCTGCAGCTCCCTAAGAAAAAGCAGTTTCTGAAATGGGGTGGCTGTGAAATTTCTCAGTGTAGCGCAAGACGTTGGTGCGTGCTGTGCTCATGACCTGTGCGTGTGTGTGTGTTTCCCGTGTGTTGCAGGCCATTCTGCGGGAGGGTCTGGAGGAGGTGCGCCAGTTCTTCACCACCAGCCAGAACTGCCGGCTGCCCCTCAACCCCAGCCTGCTGGTCAAGGGTATCAACATCCAGGTGGGGCTGAGTGGGAGAGCAGGGGGCGTCTGTGTGTGCTGGGCTCTGTGTGTCCGCGAGTACAGGAGTTCCTCCTGGCCTCGTGTGCGGCTCAGTCAAATCCTATGCCATTGTGTCACAAGGCACGGCTACCAGCAGTTATATCTTCCTTTTCCCTGCGAGTTTGGGAATTCTCACAGTGAGGAGCTCTAAGCTGCCTTTACATTTGGTGCTTTGCTTTAGAGTGAGGTGATCTTTTTAATACCCAAATATGACTGTAGCACACAGACAATCATATTTTGGAAGCATGGAAAATAGAAGATCCATTCCTCGGGGCTCTCCGCACTGCTAACACCTTCGCTCGACCTCTGTTTTTTCTCCAGTCCTGCTCCTACTTCAATTCCAACGCTGTTCCTCTGAAGCTGTCTTTCCAGAACGTCGATCCGCTGGGAGACAGCATCAATGTCATCTTCAAGGTACGGCCAGGTTGTTCAGACACTGCAGCGTGCAGTAATCTCAGTCTGCCTTTCAGGATCCACAGATACATTTTCAATTTTTGTGTAGCACAGTTTTCTAATTACTTCGGTAGTAAAATGTTAGTAATTTTAATAATGTCTTAAAGTAATTTCAAAACTTCCCGCAGAAAGGAAGGAAAATCCCACTTGCTGAGGGGAACTTTATGGGAACTCCAGTGTGGAAAATGTAATATTCTAGCCAAGTTCTTGAGCACTTAATCCCCAGCGTGCTCGTGACCCAGAGTCTGCTCTGTTCCCCCCTCAGTCTGGGGATGACCTCCGGCAGGACATGCTGACCCTGCAGATCATTCGCATCATGAACAAGATCTGGATCCAGGAGGGGCTGGACATGAGGATGGTCATCTTCCGCTGCTTCTCCACGGGCCGGGGCCGAGGTGAGGGGGTGGGGGGTCGGGGCCGAATATCCTGTAGGACAGAACAGACCAGACCCCTCTCACCTTTTGCTTGAAGATTTTTTCCATCCAAGGCAACACATTTCATTCTAAGTATTTGAATGACAGTTTTATATTCAGTCAGGACAAATGTCATTTTTAATCTCCAGGCATCAGCTACCTTTTTATACCAGTAGGTGATGCCTTCCAGTTTTATGTCATTTCTGAATGTTAATTCCTTCATGTGGTTACAACATAGCTGTTCAAAAAAGCAATTTTCTGATTCAGCAAATGAATCTGTTCCCTGCAGCTCCCCCAGCTGTACTTCCAGGCATGATCATGATTTTATCACCCCATATTAAAAAAAGTTCAGGAAGATTTCTGTCCGCAGACAGAGCTGTTCGCGGTGCAGGACTGGTGCGGGTTGTCATGCCCCTGTGTCTGTCTCAGGTATGGTGGAGATGATCCCCAACGCGGAGACCCTTCGGAAGATCCAGGTGGAGCACGGAGTGACCGGCTCCTTTAAGGACCGTCCGCTCGCCGACTGGTTACAGAAACACAACCCCACTGAGGACGAGTATGAGAAGGTGAGGCAACTTTCTGGGGTCCCCGATAACTGTGAATCGGGGCTGGACCTTGACATGAGCTGCTTTCTGGGGTCCCCGATAACTGTGA